CCCCCCCCCCCCCCCCCCCCCCGATGAGTTTTCTAATGGTCCGTCCCTAATGAGAACAAGGTTGTCTATGTGGTCGCCACAGGTTGGTAATATTGGCCCACTATTGATCTGATCTGCTCAACTTCGCCCCTAAATGAGTGCCACTTGAGACTGAATTGAACTTTGTTTTTGACGTATTCTAATAACTTGTTTTTATTTCGTTGTGTTTTAGATTTACCTAGCTCTAGGATTTACGTTCTTAGATTATTTCAAGGTATGTGAAGCCCTGCCAGTTTTGCTAAACGGACTGTGAAGAACATCCCTTTTTCTAAAGAAAATTATACTCAGTGGTGCCTTTAGTTTTCTTTTCGAGGACTTTGCTAACGTTGTTTTATTTTTGTTGTTGTTGTTGTTGTTGTTTTTTCGCTTAAAAAGCAAGGTACACTGAGTGAAACAAACTATTTAAGTAATATAAATATTCTCGTTTGGAATTAAATCTCCTCGTAGCACACAGCTTAAAAGTTTAACCTCCGGAGCAGAGGTACCGGGTCGATACCCGGTATCGCCCATATTTTCTTCGTTTCGTATTTTTTCTTTTTTATGGTTACTGGAGTATTCATAGCCAGTAAGGACATGTCCTTTCGGCGGACTCTTTTTTTAATTGTTCTTCTCTTGGTCTTTATCGACAGTGTTTACAGAGACCTAAGGAATACCTCATCCACGAAAATATTTCTAATGCTAACTCGGCAGAAGGGAACTCAGCTATGAGTCCAGATTAGATGGTAGAACCTTGGAATAAGTGGCCAGTTACCAGACTCGTACCCAGTCCCCTCTCTGTTTTCGCGCTGTGATTAATGGGAAGGATTTAGTGAGTTCGTGGTGCATCAAAGGAAGGAAGGAACAAAAACTCACTTTTTCTCCATCCTTCCCAACGCCTTTGCGCGCATAAATTTTCCTTTTCATACTTCTTTGTGACAATAAATGAGTGAATACTTGGTATGACTCTGGCCAGTTACCAGCACGTTTGTGGTATTGCGCCATTTAAAGAGGTTACCGAATCCATAGGCAATGGACTTTTCCACATAATTTAGATAGAAGGCTGCCTCACGCTTTCGGATATGTAGTAGGTAATAAAGAAATAATGTATCGGGGTTAGGGCACTGAATTTTAAATCGTGTTTCTCTCATTTTGTTTACTACTTTTTCCAATGCCCTTTTTCGATTAACCTCGTTCCCAGGCAGGGTTGCCAATGTCAGGAAAAGTCGGGGAAAAACGAAAAATTTTTGAAGGTCAGGGAAAAGTCAAGGAAAATCTTCGATGATTATTTTAATTGTTAAGAGGTCAGTGAAAAGTCATGGAATTTTTTAGTTTCTGGTAAGCGGCAACCCTGGCAGGGTTCTCTCCTACTCGGGTTTGTTTTTCCATGTACTCGTCCGTATCTTCTCAATCGTTCAAATAGTCCCAGATGAGTTCAGACGGTCGCGACAATGATGCTAGGCAATCCAGACAATCGCAATCGCCTGGATCTGTAAAAGTGAAATCTCTTAATAAGCTTATTTCCACATAGTCGTGCGAAATCGTTTGTCAGACTTATACCTTAAATTGGCAAAGCCAAAGTCTTCTATTCACCCAATCACGGTCGCGTATTACAAACAGATCAGTCTAACGCTATACACTGGAGGTTCCATTTCAGAGAAATGACCTTAAATTGTGTAGCCCAGCCCTTTTAAATGAACTTTTTAAGAAAATTTTAAGCCGTTATAGTGCTATTGCTGTTAGAGTAAAACATAGTTGGCGGCGCGATTTATTTTTAAGAAGATTAGAAGTTACCGTAAATCTGTTGACTAAAGAAATGTTGTGGAATAAGTTAAAATAAGTTTCTAAATAAGTTTTATTGTTCGAGTAAGATTTCTTTTGTGGAGCCAAGGAGCTTTCAAGAATCTTTATTTTCATTGGTATTAGCAAACACATCTGTTGTTAGGGTTTTTAAAACAACACAGATGTTGACCTTATCATGTGTACGGTAAACAGCAGAGGTGGTCTAATCTGTCGGAAAGAGACAGATAAGTAAAATCATGCAGTAATTCTCACGCGCATGTATTTCAACCTGAAAACAGTTCTCTCAGAAATGAAATCGGGCAACGGAAAAAGGCAAGTTTGATGGTTAATCGGGGAAAATGGTCACGTGGTCATCTCTGCTGTTTACCGTAAAAGGTACGAATATATCGCTGAAGTCATCAATGAAAGGATTATTAGTGAAAACAAAAAGGTCTTTTATTTTATTTTTGTTACATTTAAATAGCAAACAGATTTTTTTGTGTTAACTGATATCTTACCTCTATCGACT